ACTAATAATCGTAGTAATACGATCCGCTTACATTTGCAGCGTGACTTTCAAAGTAACCCTAGGGGAAAACCCCACAGCACAACACTGTCCTGGCAAAGGCGTAGTGATCCCAATGCATGCAGTCACTAGGGCAGGCTGACAGCTGTTTGACATGCTGCCGGATTTTTTTTACACCGGAAATTTTTGCACTTTCCATGAAAAAAATGGTCACAGTTTTTCAAGCAGCTCGAAACATGGACTTTTATCAGCCAAAAAAATATTCCCTGCGTAAGTCTGATGCAAGCAAAAACGCTCTTGTGTTTAAGGTGCAGGTAGCAAAGCTGGGTTCCGCTCCTGCCTGTGCGATGGATGCTCTTGGTGAGATCTTCCACCCCCATCTGGCCCCTTTGTCCCAAGTAAAAGGAGCGCAGCAGTATAATGAAGTCCTATAAGCCCTTGTTTCTGGATGGAGAGTATTTTCCCCTCCCGCAAGCAGGTATGACAGAAGCCAGCCGTCAGACTGCCTTCTAAAGAACGGGTGCACCTGGGAAAGGCATAAGATCTCTTTGTGCCTTATCTCCCTCTTTTCCAGATGTGGATAAGAACCCTGCCATACCCCTTTGGGCTGTTACAAATCCAGCCAATGGCTGCAAGTTGCTCAGATGCTGTGGTAATGGAGGTCCTGTAAATGCATAGATCTTAATTAACCTTTATGCAGTTTTCTGGGACAAAGTAATTGGCTGACTAATATTTTTCATGTATCCAATTTACCTGTTGGGACGAGAATAATTTGTGGCCTCATAAAACAAATAAGCTTTTGTTATTGCAGGAGGGAAAAAATATAACTGCATTACTTTGTAATGGCCTGAAATGTTCCTGGGATAAAGCGTCCCATTTCTCTGCTAAGCGAGCGTCTCTGTGTGTTCCACCTGTAAACGGCAAGCACTGCTAAATTAATAATTTTCCCTCCATGGTGCCCGTTCAGCCAAAGCACGCACATCAGGCACTGAGGCTGGCAGTGCTGAGGCTGGTGTGGGTGGATGCAGATGGGATGCTTTTCTGGCTGTAGCTATGCTCTCTAACTCTGAAGCAGAGAATTTTTATCTATGTACTCATACGCCCTTCATCACTGTAGTATCTGAGTGCCTGTCGGTCCATAATGAATTTTCTACTCACATCACCCGAGTTGAGCTGGGAAATATTATCCTCATTTGTAAAACCAAGGCACACCAATTCAGCGACTTGCCCAAAACTGACACATGAAATTTATGACAGAGACATGCGTCAAACCCATGTTCTCTAGAATAGATCCCAGTTCAGTGCCATCTCCTCCAGCCCTTCCTTCTTCCCCTTTTGGCTAGCAGATCAAAAAGAAGATCAAGGGGTGACTTGATTACAGTATCTACATAGCTTCCGAAAACATTGGGTACTAAAGAGCTCTCTAATTTAGCGGGAAAAGGCAGAACAAGAACCCATGGCTGGAAGTTAAAGCCAGAAAAATTCAAATGAGAAATGAGGCCAAAAACATGTTAACAAGGTGATTAGCCACTGCAGCCAACTCCCAAGGGAAGTGACAGACTGTCCATCTTTTGAAGTCTTCCAATCATTAGATGCCTTTCTGATTGGTATGTTTTAGTCAAACAGAAGTTATTCTTCGGCTCATTAGAGGAATAACTGGCTGAAATTCTCTGGCCTGTGGAAGTCAGATGATGATCTAATGGTCTTGTCTGAACTTAAAAATCTATGTAGAATGTCACGGATTTTGGCTTGCTAGGTATAATAAAAAAAGAAAGGGGCAAATATTTGGCTTCAGTTGTTTATTTATTAGTATTCCTCCAGTGCATCTTAGAGCAAGAAGGAATGCAATTCAGGTGAAATTGTGTATAGCAAATCGCTGTTAATGAAACAATAATACTTTGCATTTCTATAGCCCAGGTCTCACAGCCCTTCACTGGGTTACACTTCACAACCTTTTCTGCAAGATAGAAAGTATGACTATCCCTATTTTACAGACAGAGAAACTGAGGCAGAGAGTGGGGAAGGCCAATGTTTTCAAAAGGGGCCAGTGATTCAGAGTGCCTCCATTTTTGGATGTTCAGTGTGGAATACACATGGTCTGATGTGCAAAAGGCCTCCACATCAGTTGGGAGCTGCATGGTGAAAATTAGGCCGCACCGGTCAAGCTGAGCATCCGAAAATAGTCACGCCAGAAATACATAGCTGGGCTGTGATTTACCCAACATCACACAAGAGGTCAGGGATAGAGATGGGAAGAGGAAACCCCCAAATCCTGGCTATGCTTTAATCACACAACCAACCTTTCACCGCTTGCTACAACCGTGTGTCAACAGGTGGCCAATTAAATAGTCGTATGTTAGATATTAGACAGGAGGTATACACCTGGACCCTTAATCTCAAAATTAGATGTCAAATTCATAGAGTAAAATGTGTGCACGCATGGGGGGGGGGGGTGTGTGGAGTGTGGATCTGCTCTATAGCTGGTCTGTGCACCGGGTTTTTGCACCACTTTGCATCAGTTTAAAAACGGATATAGTTAAACTAATGAACACCTAAGTTCTACCGGTGTAAAGGTGCTTTTATTGGCATAGTTTATTCCTGTAAACCCCTGGGTTTATCTCAACCAGCCAGTGAATACATTTTCTAACATGATGCATCTACCACTGTCGATGAGCCATAATGGACAGCCCTGGATCTGGCCAGCGTGAAGCCACTTTTCATCCCTGAGAACTCCATCACCTTCTCTGATGGATATTTGAGCCGACATGGATAGCAGCTCATGTCCAGTCCAGGCAATGATGATCACCTGTGGAGTTTTCTTTGATTCAGTCGAGGTTCTGAGTGCCGTGCCTGAGGCAGAGTGAACCGTAATCACTGTGGGTCTGTTTGCACAACTTTTGCTGCGCACGCAGACCCTTTGTGTGGCTTCCATGCTGGCTAATGTAGAGATATAAGTTTGCTGGAACTAACCTTCCTTGAGAAAACTGGGAGAAAGCAAGGATGTCTCTGTGCTTGCCAAGAAGTTAGGGTGTTCATCTTGCAGTTTGTCTCCTTTATTATCATGAGCCATCGGGTCTAACAGATCACTGCCTTTTGTCCATCTCAAGGCAGTCACTGCTTCTGATAGACTGTACCCCAGCATTCCCCCCTTGCACACTGTTATAATAATCTCTGTACAAAATATGCCTTGTGAGATTGTGAAATTCCTCTCTGGTGTTATCTGGACCAGGGATCTGCTAGGTCACTCCAATCCTCGACTCTGGGAGCCAGCCTTACCCTACTCTGCTGTGAGAGCCCCCACTCCTGGGCTGTTCACGCACAGCCTCTGGCATGTAAGCTGCTCCTTGGATTTTACAACCGAATGATACTAACCAATATCTCCGGTCCCAGACAAAACCCTAGGAATCTCCATCTTGCAGTGTCCAGTTATGCCCGCTGAACACTGCAAGCTTATATGAGTTTGTCAATTTAACAAAGAAATTGATATGTACCAGGCTTGTTATCCCAAGGGGAGTCTCTGACATGCTTCAAACCAAATGCACGGCTTCAGGTAGAATAAACAGACAGAGTTATTAACCACAAAGATAGATTTTAAGTGATTGTAAGTCAAAACATAACAAGTCAGATTTGGTCAAATGAAATAAAAGCAAAATGCATTCTAAGCTGATCTTGACACTTTCAGTGCCCTTACAAACCTAGATACTTCTCACCACAGCCTGGTTGCCCTTCAGCCAGGCTCTCCCCTTTGATCAGTGCTTCAGTCACTTGGTGTGGTGCATGTAGATGTAGGTGGACGAGAGAGAGCATGGCAAATGTCTCTCCCTTTTACCGTGTTCTTTCTTCCCTCTCGGCTTTGCCCCCCCTTCAGAGTCAGGTGAGCATTACCTCATCGCAGTCCCAGACTGACCAAAGGAAGGGCGGGTGACTCACTAGAGAGTCCAACAGATCCTTTTGTTGCTGCCTAGGGCAGCGTCCTTTGTTCCTGTGAAGCTGGGCTGGGTGTGTCCCATACATGCCCTGATGAGGTGTGAACTGCCCCTCTGCTCTTGGAGAGTTTTTGCCTGGGTTTATTTTAAGCCATGAAGACACATTTTCAGCCTCATAACTATATACATGAAATTATAACCTATAACTTTACTATAACTTTACTGTAACAACAATTACTATAACATCACTATGACAACAATGCTCAGCGCATCATGAGCCTTCCGAAGACACCCAACATGACAAACTTTGCATTAGATACCACACCATTGTTGGTGACCCTGGGCACTACTCCAGGTAACTCGGGAGGGTGGAAGACCACGAGTGTCGATGAAGCCCCCTTGCTCTAGGCCCAGGCAAACTGAGGCCCCTCCGCTCCGTGAACTTTCTGTAACCCTGGACAACGATGAGGAAGCTAGCACACAAACAGGCAGGTTTGCACACGGCTCGCTAGCCAAGGCCAGCTTCGGCCTAAAAACCATATAAATAAGGTAAAAATGTTTAGCAAAAACCAATAACAAATAGACCCAAATAAGGTAAGACTCGGGCAATGCTACTAAAAAAAGACACAACTGGCTGCTGTAGCTAATTGGCTACGTATTGTACGGGGCAACAGGTAATTAGTTGCATAAGCTTATATAATAAAGTAGGCAAAGGTATAAAATGTATACTGAAATCTGCATGCGGGGCTGCAGGATTTAAGACAGTTCAGTCTCCCGGCGCCCTATTTGAAGCTTCAAATAAATCTCTCTGCTTCTCCACCCCGTTGTGGTCATTGGCGCGATGCATACCGGGCAACGAACCCAACTGTTGCTTGCCTCGGGCACTCTGTGCCGGCAACACCATCATATTATAAGGATTAACATGGGGGACTAGGGTGTTCCCACAAGGTACAGAACATCACAGAGGTATCATATGAAAACTCACAATTTTTTGGTCAATATTGTCCAGATAAAATATATGTGGCAACCTTGTATATAAATGTAGGTCCCCTTTACTGGAGGGGCCTCTGAACTTACCTGGGAGTGTTCCAGTGGGGAAGATGCTGAGGGCTGCAATCCACCAGTGGAGACTACACCTCCCAGGATGCCTGCAGGGGAAGCGAGAGAGACTTTCACTCGCAGGAATGCAGGGAGAGCATGTGCTGGGGTCCATAGTGGAGAGGAGCGGAGGTTGTTGGAGCTCTGTCCATGCCAGGAGCTGCTGCTGGGAGCCTGCTGGGGCTTTGAAGGTGCAGGGAGCCTTGGGGGTTGTTGGTGGTTGGTGGCTGGGTAGAGGCTGTTGCTGTGCCCAGAGCTGACTGAGGTGGGCCTGCAGTGAAGGAAGGGTGAGTAACCCCCACCCTTGTTTGGGAAAGTGCCTGCAAGGAGGAGGACGGGGGGAGCAAAGTGACTGCAAGGGGTTGTCTGAGTCTGAGAAGAGGTGGAGTGCTCTTGTCCTTGAACCAGGACTCAGGGTTGCTGGCATATGGTTAAAATAACTCCACTCGTTAGAGGGATGGTGCAGTTTGGGATGATCCCAAATTAGAATTGTTCGGCCCCTGGTTGCCCTGGACTGATTCACTGGACCAACAGCGCGCTGGCCCCAGCTTCAAGCGCTCCCATGCAAGCGTTTGTAACTCTGAAATCCAGAGCAGTGCACGCTCAGGGATGGGGTAACTGGACGCAGTGTAAATGCAAGTTAGATAAGCTTCATTTACTACCGTGCACTGGATTTGTTACTTGATTTATTGAACTGCCCCCTACTGGTTTAAATTACTGGTGACTGACTGACTTTTAATCACAGTCTGTTATGTCATGTTTTCTTAAATTGGCAAGGTGTGTTAGCTCCACTCTAAGTGTATATTGGGTGTGTACTGATTCTGACTTAGTCTCATTGCACAGATTAGTTCAGGTTTATTGCTGGAGGCTCCCAAGGGACCACAGTGAGTGCAGGGCCCAGCCAGGCAGAGGCACCCCTGGTTTTACTTTCCTTTACAAGTAAAAGGACTGCAGCAGAGGGGTGGATCAAGGATTCCCCCCATCCAACATCACCACTGGGATACTCAGCTTTACTGTCAACAACATCAGGGGCCCAGGCACACAGGTGAGTGTTGCCTGCTCCCAAGTACCCCAGGGTGGAAACGCGGGGTTTCTTAGAGTTATAGGATTCCACTGTCTGGTGCTGTTAACACAAGTTCCAAACCAGAGTCCCCTGACCACACAGAAGTTGACAAACAGGGTCTGGCTCAAACAACAGAATGTGCTCTGCTTAATTGACATGTAAACGGAGTCATCAACCAGAAGGGGAACAAAGGAAACAGTAGCAAACATCATTTCTCATTAGACTTTATGTCTTCTGAGCCCATGCTGGAAATGTTTCTCAAAGGCGGGACAGAACTATAAAAAGGGGGGAGATCCCTCCCCCCCTTCCATCTCTCTCCCCAGGGCTTTCCCAGCACCCAAAGGACAAAGAAAACAGGTTGAACTGGGGGAGGGATCCTGACTGAAGAAACATGGGGAGAAAGCCTTGCTTTGAATTTAACATAGTTTGTTAGGTTAGGCATTAACTTGTGCTTTTATCTTTATTTTTCTGGTCACTATTTCTGGCATTCATGCCTCATGACACGTCCTCCCGACAAATCTCTCTCTTTGTAGCTCATAAACTAGTTTTATTGTTTTCTCTATTCCGGTGTGTCTAGATTGACGTGTTTGGGGCAACTCCATTAGAGGTAACCACACTCTGGGTCTCCCCTCCCAGGGAACCCCCTCCCCCTATGCCCACCTTGCCACAGTGGCTACTGCCAGTCATCATCTAGCCCCCTTTCTCTGGGGTAAACTGCAGTCTGTAATGGCCCCTCATCATTGGCAAGGGGGTTGGACCTGCTGCCTTTCTAGCCCAGCTGTCTCCCTGCAGCCCCAGTACCTCCTCAGGCCTTTCTGCCAGGACTCAGTCAGGGGACACGCCAGGCCTGAGCTCCCCAGCTCTGCCTGCCCTTCCCCAGCACTGCTCTGCCGAAGGTGCCCTGTTTCTCCCAGGCAGCTCGGTCCTTCCCACTCCAGGGCTGGAGCTGAGACTTTCGCAGCTCCTTACTCACAGTCCTCTCATCAGGGCCAGCTGTGGCCAGCTCCCCAGCCAACCTCCCTCAGCTGCTCTCACTCCTTCTCTCCCAGGAGCGGGGTAACCGCCCGCTACAGGGAGATACTGTGGCCTGCTTCTTATTTACAATGTCACCTGAAAGTGAGAACAGGCGTTCGCATGGCACTTTTGTAACCGGCCTTGCAAGGTATTTACATGCCAGATATGCTAAACATTTGTATGCCCCTTCACGCTTCAACCACCATTCCAGAGGACATGCTTCCATGTTGATGATGCTCGTTGAACAAAATCATGCATTAATGAAATTTGTGAATGAACTCCTTGTGGGAGAATTGTATGTCGCCTTCTCTGTGTTACCAGCATTCTGCCATATACACCGTCTACATAGCATGAATTCGCATATAACGCGGTTGCGACCATGACTTCCAAATTTAATTACTTTAATTGGAATTCATTTTAACGTGGTCCCTGCGTTAACACAGTACTGCGCATGGATCCAAAATTCTGCGTTCTAGCGAGGGTCCGGTGTATTTCATGTTATGGCAGTCTCAGATGATGACCCAGCATATGTTCGTTTCAAGAACATCTCCTCTTTCATTGCAGATTTGACAAAACACAAAGAAGGTACCAATGTGAGATTTCTAAAGATAGCTACGGCACTTGACCCAAGGTTTAAGAATCTGAAGTGCCGTCCAAAATCTGAGAGGGACGAGGTGTGGATCATGCTTTCAGAAGTCTTAAAAGAGCAACACTCCAATGCGGAAACTACAGAACCCGAACCACCAATAACTAAATAAATCAACCTTCTGCTGGTGGCATCTGACTCAGATGATGAAAATGAACATGCGTAGGTCTGCACTGCTTTGGATTGTTGTCGAGCAGAATCCGTCAGCCAGAGTACAGGCTTTCCAGGTCTGAACATTTGAGGACAGTGAATTTTAATTCCTCGCTCACTAGAAACTGATGGTTTGTTTTGACGAGGTGAATATTTTTTCGATAAGTATTTGCCTGCTCATCCAGTCAGAGAATGAAGACAATACCATGTGACGTATCTGACTCAAATTCCAAGGCCAGATGGCCCCATTGTGATCCTCTAGTCTGACTCTCTGGATAACACAGGCCACAGAACTTCCCCACAATAATTCCTAGAGCAGAGCTTTAAAAACAAAGTGTTCAGTCTTGATTTAAAAATTGTCAGTGATGGAAAATCCACCATGACCCGCGATAAGTTTCAATGGTTAATTACTCTCACCATTAAAAATGTATGCCTTATTTCTCGTTTGAATGTGTCTAGCTTCAATTTCCAGCCATCGGATTGTGTTGGACCTTTCTCTGTTAGATTAAGGGGCCCATTATTAAATATTTGTTCCTCATGTAGCTTCCTATAGATGGTAACCAAGTCGCCCCTTAACCTTCTCTTTGTTAAGCGAATTGAGCTCCTTGAGTCATCACCATAAGGCAAGTTTTCCAGTCTTTTAATCATTCTTGTGGCTCTTCTCTGACCCCTCTCCACTGGTTCAACATACTTTAATTGTGGGCACCAGAACTGGACACAGGATATCCAACAGCAGTGCCAAACAGAGGGATGAAATAGCCTCTCTACTCCTATTCCCGATTCCACTTGCAACTAACCCCTGCTGTTCTAAGAGGAACCACGTTTACAGGCAGTCCACGGGGTTAAAATAAATTGCACAAAACAAGATGTGGTGAGTTCTTTTGATTAATAAAATAAATGCAGAGAAATCGTAACCACCTCATGGATATTCCACAAGCAGAAAGAGGCAAAACACACCTACGAAACTAATTGCTTAGTTCTAGATACGTCAAACTTAGGAATGTGTTTATTTCTATAGGGATGGAAGACACATTTACTTGTGCAAGGAGAGAAACATTGCAATTTGAAGGACACTCAACATTGCTGCCTTGCTCACGATTCCAGTCCTGGGCTCCCCACACCCAGCTCTGTTAATGCCCCTCAATCCTGATTTACAACTGCAGCCCTGGAAGTCACACAGCTCTGCCTCTACCCCTGTGCAGCAATCCATTCTTTTCACACTTCAAAAGATTAAGACCATCTAACAGTGAACAAAACAAGCACTGAAGACCAGGAAAGAGACAGATTGTTCTCTTCACACTCTGGCAAATCAGGAGTGATGCTGAGGAAGATGCCCAGGGAAAACAAGGTGAGGAATGAAGCACTTGGGACTGAAGGCCTGATTCAGCAAAGTCTTTAAGCATGTGTTTAGGAAGGGACGTAGATATGTTTTTAAAGTTAGTCAGCAAAGTTGGTCAATGGGACTTGAGCACGTGCTTAATAAAATTCTACTTCACTCTTTTCATCAGTAGATTTCAAAGCACTTTACAAAGGAATCGGTATCATTACCCCCATTTTATAAATGGGGAAACTGAAGCACAGAAGTGACTTGCCCAAGGTCACCCACCAAGCCAGTAGCAGAACCATGAATGGAATCCAGATCTCCTGAGTCCCGGTCCAGTGCTCTAGCCACTAGGTCATATAGGTAGAGTGGTATATCCTAGAGTAGATGCAGTTATAGTGGTATAGCTGTGGGAGGGAGAATAAGATGCATCTGGTATAGCTGTGCCCACACGAGGGGTTGTACAGATATAACTATTCCAGTTTTTAAACAAATTACATCCTAACTCCAATAATTACACCAGTACAAAATCTGTGTTTTGTGCTGCTATAAAGACAGGTCTACACCTAAAATGCTGTGTCGGCTGCTGTAGCACTTAAGTGAAGACGTTCCTACGCCAGTGGGAGAGCTTCTCCCTTCAGCGTAGTTAATCCACCTCCCCGAGAGGCGGTAGCCCGAGGAGATGCTCTCCCGTTGACATCGTTCTGTCTACACGGGGGGTTAGGTTGGTATAACTCTGGATTTTTCACACGCTTCAGCGACACTGTTATAGGGCTGCAATGGGGAGCTGGCCTAAGTAGGGATGGACTCTAGTGGGGGTGGGAGAGTTCAAAGGCCAAGCAAGAGGGTAGTGAGG